TTTTTATTGACGAGTAAATATACCATTGCGTGGATATGGCATAATTTTACCCATGCACTTGTTGATGGATGTCTGAATGAGATTACAGCCCTTATGAAAGAGGTGGAAGGGAGAGCCCTAGCCCTTTCCACCATGTGAGGACACAGTGGTCATCCCCTCACGCCTTTCCGTCTCTTTCAACACACGAGGACACTACAGAATGCCATCAGGAGGAACAGGCTGCACCAGACACTGGACCAGCTGGCACCTGGATCTTGGACTTTCTGCTTACAGCCTCTTTTCTTGGACTTACTGCTTACAGCCTCTAGAACTGTAAGCGGTAAGTTTCCCTCCCTCCTTCTCTCCCTCCTTCCCTCACTTCTTTCTATTTTGTTGTTGGAGTCTCACTCTGTCACCCATGCTGGAGTCCAGTGGCATGACCATGGCTCACTACAGCATCAACCTCCTGGGCTCAAGCAATCCTCTGGCCTCAGCCTCCTGAGTAGCTAGCACTACAGACGTGTGCCACCATGCCTGGTTAATACATTTCTATTATTTATAAACTACCCAGTCTGTGGTATTTTGTTATAGCAGCAGGAACTAAGGTAGGATTTAATTTTCATTGCCCAGATGACAAATGATGTCAGATGATATTTTCTCATATGCTTATTGGTTATTTGCATATATTTTCTTCTGTGAAGTCTATGTTGACATCTTTTGCCCATTTTTTGGTTGGGTTGCTTGTCTTTGTGTTGAGTTGAAGTTCTTTATTCTGAATACAAGTTTTGTGTCAGACACGTATTTTGAATTTTTTTTTTTCTGAATTGGTGTCTCACTCTGTTGCCCAGGCTGGAGTGCAGTGTCGACCTGCTGGGCTCTGGCAATATTTTGTCTCATCCTTCCAAGTAGCCGGAAATACAAGTACACAGCTACGATGCTTAGCTAATTTTTGACTTATTGTAGAGATGAGGTCTCACCAAATTGCCCTGACTGGTCTTGAACCCACAGGCTCAGACAATCCACTCACCTCGGCCTCCCAAAGTGCTGGGATTACAGGCTGAGCTACCAAGCCTAGGCTTACCTATTTTCTTAATGGTGTTTTTTGTTGAGAAGTTTTGCATTTTGATGAAATCTATATATCAATTGTTTTTAGGATCCATGCTTTTGTATCCTTTCTAAGAAATCTCTGCCTACCCCAAGACTGAAAAGACATTCTGTTTTCTTCTGGTAGCTTTACCAATTTATGTTTAGATATACGATCCCTCTTATGTTGAATTATGAAAATGGTGTGAGGTAGGGATTGAGTTCCGCCACACACATGAATATCTAGTTGTTCCAACACCACTTGTTGGGCTCTTGTCAAAATCAGTTGCCCTTGCATAAGATGACTCTTGATAGCTTTCTGACACTAAGCACCCAAACTTGCCTTGTGTGGTTTCTTTATGAGTCTTGTGTGGTCTCTCCAGGTATCTAGTGTGGTCTCTCCACGTATCTTGTGTGGTCTCGTGTGGTCTCTGTCTTGTGTGGTCTCCCTATGTGTCTTGTGTGATCTCTCTGAGTCTTGTGTGGTCTCTGTGTCTTCTGTGATCTCCATGAGTCTTGTGTGGTCCCTGTGTCTTGTGTGGTCTCTCTATGTATCTTGTGTGGTCCTTCTACATGTCGTGGTGCTTTCTCTACATGTCTTGGTGGTCTCTCTACGTGTCTTGTGTGGTCTCCCTACATGTCTTGTGTGGTCCCTCTACATGTCTTGGCGGTCTCTCTACGTGTCTTGGTGATCTCTATGTGTCTCAGTGGTCTCTCTACATGTCTTGTGTGATATCTCTATGTGTCTTGATGGTCTCTCTGCATGTCTTGTGTGATCTCTCTACGTGTCTTGGTGGCCTCTCTACACGTCTTGTGTGATCTATGTGTCTTGGTGGTCTCTCTACATGTCTTGTGTGATCTCTCTCTGTGTCTTGGTGGTCTCTCTACATGTTTTGGTGGTCTCTCTGTATCTTGGTGATCTCTCTACGTGTCTTGTGTGGTCTCTCTACGTGTCTTGGTGGTCTCTCTATCTTGGTGATCTCTCTATGTGTCTTAGTGGTCTCTCTACATGTCTTGTGTGATCTATGTGTCTTGGTGGTATCTCTATGTAACTTGGTGGTCTCTCTACACATATGTGTGGTATATGTGTCTTGGTGGTCTCTACGTGTCTTGTGTGATCAATATGTCTTGGTGGTCTCTCTACATGTCTTGGTGGTCTCTCTACGTGTCTTGGTGGTCTCTCTACGTGTCCTGTGTGATCTCTCTATGTGTCTTGGTGGTCTCTCTACGTGTCTTGTGTGATCTATGTGTCTTGGTGGTCTCTCTATGTAACTTGGTGGTCTCTCTACGCGTATGTGTGGTGTATGTGTCTTGGTGGTCTCTACATGTCTTGTGTGATCAATGTGTCTTGGTGGTCTCTCTATGTGTCTTGTGTGATCAATGTGTCTTGGTGGTCTCTCTAGTGTCTTGGTGGTCTCTCTACGTGTCTTGGGTGATCAATGTGTCTTGGTGATCTCTCTACGTGTCTTGGGTGATCAATGTGTCTTGGTGATCTCTCTATGTGTCTGGTGGTCTCTCTGCATGTCTTGATGGTCTCTCTACGTGTCTTGGTGGTCTCTCTACGTGTCTTGGTGGTCTCTCTGTGTGTCTTGGTGATCTCTCGGTGTATCTTGGTGGTCTCTCTACATGTCTTGTGTGATCTATGTGTCTTGGTGGTCTCTCTATGTAACCTGGTGGTCTCTCTATGTGTATGTGTGGTGCATGTGTCTTGGTGGTCTCTCTACATGTCTTGGTGGTCTGCAGACCCGCACCATCACATTACCTGGGATCTTGACAGAAATCCAGAATCCAGCATCACCTCAGCCTCACACAACCTGCAGGTGATTCAAAGGCACATGGCATATTGAGGAGCACTGGCGCGGGTAATTGTTGAGGAATGAGAGAAACCTCAGCATGACACTTGCTGCCTCTCACAGCCACCCCCCTCCCCCCCACAAGCACCACAGGCGGCGGCCGCTGACCCATTTCCTCTGCCGTCTGTGCAGCTAGCCTCACTCCCTCACTCCCTGACTTAACCTCTGGCTCCCCATCTCAGGGGCTCATGCCCCGCAAAGTGATGTGAGGAGCACCTGGGCATGGAGACAGCACAATAGGAGCCGGTGATCATCGTGGCCACTTCAGAGTTCTGTCGCCAGGAAAAGCCCCCGGACACTTTCCACGCAGCCCCACCCCCACAGCCGGGCAGAATCGCGCCCGCCTGCTCCCAGCCCTCCTCCCCCCGCCCCGCGCCCCAGGCCCGCGTGCTCCATAAATCTTCCCCAGCGCGTCGCATTGTTCCGGCGAGTTGCCCTCGCGTCCACCTCCCCCGCCACGGCCCGGAAGCTCCTTGAAATCCCTCGAATCCCGGATTTCTGCCGTGGTCGTCTCTGAAGCCCCAGCCCCTGGCACAGGGCCTAGCGCTTGGAGGGCGCTCAATAAATGTTTGCAAAATCGAATTCTGCGTTGAGCAGGTGTCCAAACCCCCATTCGCGGGGGCGGGGTGTGCG